GTCATACAGGAAGGTAGAGTAGCGGGAATACAGAAACAAATTCCGTTCAGGAATAAGTTGAGAATAATTTGGACAGATAACAATTTTGATGAGGAAACAGTTGGCCGTAAGTTAAAAGAAATCCTGAAACCTAAAAGAACGGTAGCACTCCTGATTCCAGACAACTTGGTGATAACAATCCAAGAAGCATATTGCAAGTATTTCGCTTATAGTAAGTTATATAGGGCAATAAGATGTACAGTTTTGTTGCCGGATATAACGGAAAAGAGTGAACAGGAACAGGTCATCAAAGACTACCATGAAAGGTCTAATCATAGGGGAATAGATGAAACATTAGCACACCTGAAAAGGAGGGTGTTTTTCGCACACATGAAACAGACAATTACCCAAACAATTAATAATTGTGACAGTTGTCAAATACAGAAGTACGATAGGAAACCAAACAAGATCAAATACAGCCTTACAGAGACACCAGAGAGACCTATTTAAATAGTGCACATTGACTTGTATTTCGTAAACAAGAAAAGTGTGCTAACCATAATTGACAAATTCTCTAGATACGCTTGGGGACTAACAATCCCAGCAAAAGAAAGCGTAAATATTGTTAAGGCAGTAAAAAGTTTCATGGCCTTATTCGGGGTGCCTAAAAAGACAGTCTGTGACCAAGGAGTAGAATTTTCTTCTAACTTGTTCAAGGACTTTTGTAGGCAGTACGAATTAGAGCTACATACGACATCCTTCCAGCAATCATCGAGCAATTCTACAGTCGAGAGACTGCACTCGACGATCACAGAAATATATAGATTAATAAATGAGACAAAAAGGAAAAAGAAACTTGAAATCAAGCATGAGGAAGTCCTGGATGAGGCATTTATAACTTATAATAATGACATTCATTCAGCGACGAAACTAACACCGCAGGAGTTGTTCACAGGAAGAACGCATAACTTCCTAAATAACGTGTCTTTTAACAACGAACACGATTATTTACAGAAGATTAAAGCGTTTCAAGCAGAACTTTATCCAAGAATAAAAGAAAGGTTCAGCAAGAAAAGAACAAAAGAATAGAGGCGGCGAATGTTGACAGGCAAAGCCCGGACACAGTACAACCAGGAGACATTATATTTAGGAAAGAAAACAGGAGGGATAAATTAACTCCTCGTTTTTCAAAGCACAAGGTGATAGAATACAACGGTCTCACACTAACCTCTACTAAACCACAAAAAATCCATAAAGAAAAAATCAGAAGACTAACCAAACCAAATGAACAATAATTACAGGTGGTCAAGGAGCATGGCCGCAGAAAGGAAACTCGAGATCCGGCCATTGCTAAGAGAAGAACCACTAGCGAAAATAAATCTAGGCGCTGCGAAGATAATTCAAACTCATAAAACATTAGTACACATAGTAAAATTACAAGAATATCAAGAGGCAATAGAACAGTTAGAACGAACACTCACAGAAGTAGTTGAAAACACGGAAACAAGGGACCTTGTTAAGGTTTTGCAAAACAAATTACAGATGATCAAGAACAGATTAGAGGCAATATGCCCCAGGAAGAGGAAAGCAAGGGGACTAATCAATGGATTAGGATCTGTAGTTAAATCCATAACAGGGAACTTAGACGCGGAAGACGCAGAAAGGCTAGAAGAAGAGATAATAAAAATGCAAGAAGAGGAAAGGAGATTGAAGGAGAATTTGAATTCACAAGAGAGGACATGAGCTAAAATCACGATAATGTTTAAGAACCTGACGAAATATATAAACGATGAGCAAAGTCGAATAACGACATTTATTAATAATTACAAAAATGGAATCAGCCAGACGTTCATAGAGGAAGACAAGCGGATTTATAGGATAGAATATATATATAGAATTGCGATAACAATAGATATGCTAGGGCTAAATTTGAATGAATAGCCGAAAGTTTATTATTAGCAAAGATTGGGCTAATCTCAAAATTTATTTATGATAAACAAGAAACAGCTAAATGCATAAAAGAATTGGAGGAGCAAGGAATACAGATCGTATCAGAGGAACATATGTATGAGTTTTTAGAGCTAAGAACAATTATGAATATCACAGATACAATTTTCTCGATAAGATTACCAATGTTTAAAAAAGGGGAGTACTACTTACAGAGAATGGTACCCTTACCAATGAATAAAACAGAATTCATAATTGCACCAGAATATGTAGTAAACAATAAAGAAGAAATGTACTATTATAAAGATAAAAGTCAGAAGATAAGGAATTTGTATATTTGTAAGAATGATAAGATTGTAAATCAAATTAATGAAGAATGTCTTAAAAGTCTGATTAGCGGAAAGGAAGCGGATTATGAAACGAGGGATGCCGGACTCGTAACCAGGATCTTCGAACCAGAGGAGGGCTACATCGCAATTTTCAACGGAGAAAACGTAAAACTGCAAACGGACTGTGGACAGAACAGAACCCTGAATGGGTCAGAAATAATCCCATTTAGCGAGTGCAGAGCCATGGTAAACAACGTCCAATATGAGGCGATAGAGAAACTTGGTATGGCAAAACTAAAACTAGAGATACCACAAATTCCAACCATGAAGAAGAACAGAACAACCCAAGAATTGGGAATCCATGAGATGAAAATGGAAGATCTGGAAACGAAATTAAGGATCAATAGGATACAAATGGGAGCAACAATACACACGACAACGACATACACCATGTTGTCTGTGATACTTATAATAGTATTGGCCGTGGCTTGTTTTTCCAACGACCATTTTCACACCAGTCGCCCCACCTGCTAATTTCGCACCAACCATTACTCCACCTGTCACTTTCACACCAACCCTCGCTCCACTGTGGTCGGTGGTTCAGTCTGAGGGGGGAGGAGTTACCGGTTGACAAGCAGCTAGAAACCAAACACAGTTACCGCCTCAGCACTTCCCCTCGGCGGTCCCCCACCTAAACCCCTCCGGTTGACAAGCGGCTGGAAACCAAACACTTTATTGACAACTAAGTTGCCAACCAAACAAACATCGCGGCCACTGCTGAATCCAAGCCCCATATATGCATCCGGTCCAATTACAAATCCATTTAGCTAGGTCAGCACATTGTACGTAAACACTAAGCTTTGAACAAAGAATTATAAAATAAAGAATTCATTCTGATTTTCAACTCGAAACAATCAACTACAATCAATTTATTTGGTCGGGTTATACCCCGGGACACTATTTGAAGAACCTACTTAAGTTAACTCGGGCGATCGTTGGCGCGCGCGCGTTCTTAGTTTGAATTAGAATTTAACGTTCTTTTCATTTAACTTTTTTAGTCTTTTTATTTTCATATCGATTTGTGCGCGCCCAGCGTCAGAAGTTTCTTAAGATTGTCCTCAGCACAATGATATTCTCTTTTGTGAGCAGGGTCTCGAGAACGCATAAATCTACGACGCAATGTTCTTTTAAACCTCACCAGATTCAGGACCTCAGGCTTAAAAGAGTATGAGGTGGATCAGATGCGTTGTTTGGTCTTTGTCCGCAGGTTGATGACTCAGCAGCGATGTTAATATTTCGCACAAATATTTCAGTAGCATCGTCGATGTCATCAGGAGTGTTCAGGCGCATATTCAGGTTAACTAAAACGTTAATCGCTTGCTGAAACTTTGGTATATTTGCATTCTGGGGCAGGAAGCACGTCTTGCGGGAAAGCTTATAAGCGGAAACTCTGTACTGGAATGTGGACCGAACTCAGTTCAAGAATTTCAGTGATGGTTAGAAAATCAGAACGAATTCCTGTGTAGATGGCAAAGTCTATGGCTGAAGGCATGCGTTGGCTGTATGGGTAATATTGTAGCCCCTCCAGTATCAAGTACCTGCATGTGGGATGTGAGAATAATATCCGCTAGAGTTCTGCCCCTGTTTATAGAGTTACGTGATCCCCAGAGACGATGGTGGGCATTCCAGATCCCTACAATTATTAAATTTGGTCCAAGCTCATTTAGAAGATCCCCATAGTGATTAGTTGTGAGCTAAGAATTTGGTGGACAATATATAGACGCAATGACTACTTTCCCTTGGTCAGTTTTGACTTTGACCGCAACACACTGAGCCGTTTGGTGGTCCACATATAAGAATTGGTAATATTTAAGGCACGATTTGATGATAATTGCTGATCCTCCGCGATCAGCAGGATGGTGTGACAGATGAACGTCATATCCCCTTAGCTGATAGTGTGATTTAGAGCAGAAGTGAATTGCTTTACAAAAAGCCGTTCCTCACACCGGTTTTGAGTCAAATTTGACTTGAGCTGGAAAGGCAGAGTGGAGACCAGTGACTGCTTGTGCAGATCGTGGCGCTATTTGGGGTAAGAGGTTGGTTATAAGGAACATCATTGACATCATCATCTGGAGCACTGTGTCAAACCGAGCAACGAGGTCAGACAGTTTTTCATCAGATTGTAAATACATTTGATCTTGTCGTTTCCATTGCTGATCGTTTTGGAATTGCTGGAGATTTCGTTGGGGTCTCTGGGTATTGTTGTTGGTCAAGAGCTGTCGTCTGTATGGTTTGTGGCTGTTTATGTAGCTGGTTAGGCTTGTTCCCATCGGAGGGAATTAGTTCTGGTTCGCAGGTTGCTGCAACTGGGGTCAGCCACCCTGTTGAGTTTGCTGTCGAGAATGACCAATAGTGACATGGCAAGGCTCACACGACATCAGATCGAAGCGTCAGATCGAGCGTTTCCCTGCGATGGAAGATTTTTTCGATGTCTTACTGTCTGCTGGTAGACAACATAGCCCTTATAATTTGCTGTGTGACTTTCACCACAGTTTACACATTTAACAGGATGAATATCTCGTTCGCAGGCCTATATGGCATGTTTCTGACCACATCTCACAAAGTTATGATTCATCCGGAGTGGAGTGATGAACACCTCGAATAACCACGCGATAAGATCTGTCCTCCTTAAGCTGCTAAAAGTGGAACGGGACCTTTTTTGAAATCAAGGATTTACTGATAGCTCTATACGGTGTCTGAATCTGCAGTAAGGATTGAAACGGAATTGTTGGAAAGGCATTTTATGGAGTATTTAGACGGATGAACGATTTTATCTGTGAATCGGATAAGCCCGTTCAGATTCTCGCAGTTATTAATAACAATTGGCGGTGGCTTGTGATTGGGTGGGTGTTTGGTAATGTTGTCTTTGCTATGGTTGTAGATATTATTGTTTGTAGTATTGCTAATATTGTTGTTGACTACATTGTTGTATTGACTGATGCAGCGTTCGACGTTGTTGTTGTTGCTGCAGCTACCATGACCTAAGGCGGTGCTGGTACTGGCCTGATCAGGGTTGTTCCTCAACTGTCTGGTTGTTTGGTAGGATTTTATATTTTCTTCGGTTGTGTCCATGTCCGAAAGCTCAGCAAATCGGTTGGCGGATTCAGTCGTTTTGGGACTATTCGAATTTCTCTCCATTTTATTAGCAGAACTGGGAGACCTGGATTCTGGAAGGCGTTTGTTATTACTTGGGGTCCACCAATCTTCATCGTCACCAGCTATGGCTTCCAGCTTGGGTTCAATGTCTTGGGATATTAAAGGTGGGGTGGTGATGGAGCTGGTTTTATAAATGCTGCTAAATTGTTGTAATGAGGAATTTAGAGCATTAGTCATAGTATTTTGTGTCTTAGCCACCGTAGAATGAATGTCAAATTGGGATTCGGAGTCCGACAATGTAGGCATATTGGAAACCGTGCAGTGCCTGGCACTACTTTTCCGACTTTCAGTACACAAACCCACTTAGAGTAGGTTACACAGAAGTATTCGTAGCCCAGCGAGCAAGGTGTGCACCTTGCAGCCAGGAGGAACCAGGTACCGGGCTCAAATACGGGGAACGGATGTCTTTTTTTTTATTTTATTTTTATTAAGTTTATGTTAGAAATTGATTTAATTTGCAGGGTTAACAAATTGTAACTGTTGTCTTTTGTTTTTGTTTCACTTGTTTTCGCGATTCACCAGAGCGGGGCGTCTGATCACTGTCACTGCAGCTTTTGCTGCCTGGCTTACAAAAATAAATTGTTTTGCCACGAAGATGGACTTGTCCATAGAATCTTCACCAAGAATTTCGCAGCAATGCAAAAATAAAACGCGTCTGCACTCCAAGAAAGCACGATCGACGCTCAACAGTGTACGTTGGAGATCACTTTTTGGTTGTTGATTAAGAAACAATTGCATGCCACATGGGTAGCTGAAAACTTGCAACATTTGAAATAAAAATTTATATATGCCGCTAGATCTCAGTTTGTGCCTAAAATGTTCGGAATCCGGTGCATATTTTTTTTGAAATTGGTTAGCTAAGTATCTGGTATCTCATAGTCGATGCACTCGACGTCAGCTTTTGTCTTTTTATACCCTTGCAGAGCGTTTTATAATTTCAGTCAAAAGTTAAGGTATATATATTCTTGATCAGCATCACCAGGAGAGTCGATCTAGCCATATTCGTAGTCGTAGCTTTTATTTTATTTTTATTAAGTTTATGTTAGAAATTGAATTCGAAGTAGCGGTAATTTGCAAGATTAACAAATTGTAACTGTTACCTTTTGATTTTTGTTTCACTTGTTTTCGCGATACACCAGAGTGGGGCGTCTGAGCACAGTCACTGCAGCTTTAGCTGCCTGTCTTACAAAAACAAATTGTTTTGCCACGAAGGTGGACTTGTCCATTGAATCTTCACCAAAAATTTTGCAGCAATGCAGCGAAAACTGAGAAATACTTACTTAAATTAAAACTAGTATTAATCTCCACGCCCGACTGTGCAGACGTGTGAAATTATGTAAGTGTAATAATTTAAAAATTTGGTTTTTCATTGTCTAAATTTATGTAATTCTTATCCCTGAAGACGGTTGCCGAAGTGCAACGGAAATATTTTGGAGAAAAAAATAAAAAACAAGAAAGGAAAGCTAACTTCGGGCGGAGCCGAAGTTGAACTCGATAGCTTTAAAACTGAGAGACTAGTTTGCGTAGAAACAGACAGACGGACAGACGGACATGGCTATATCAACTCAGGAGGTGATCCTGATCAAGAATATATATACTTTATAGGGTCGGAGATGTCTCCTTCACTGCGTTGCACACTTTTGACCAAAATTATAATACCCTCTGCAAGGGTATAACAAGAGAGAACGCTATAGTCGAGTGCCTCGACTATTAGATACCCGTTACTCAGCTAAACAACTTAATATAAATATGCCTTCTTGTGTTTTTTTTTTTTTTTTTTTTTTTTTAACATAATGTGAATTATAGTGACCACAGGAAAAAAGGACAAAAAGTTCAAATTATCAATTTGAATTCGGCGATCTCTTAGTGCTGGCAGCTTTACAGCACTAGCATCAGCACCAGCGCTGCTTTAGCGCAGGCAGCTTTTGTCCTGCACCAGCATCTGTGTTTATGTTTATGTTTTTGAGTGCAATAAATTGACTAGAAATATTAAACATACATACTTATATTGGCTAAACACATGTTTGCACAACACGAGTAACGGGTATAGCGAATAGCTTTCTTTGAAAGGAGTTATCTTTGCCGGGCAATTGCAACTGTGTACAATGTAAATACATACATATGTATATGCTTACATATATACACACATACGCCATTGTTTTACTCAGACCTCCAATTTGGCTAACTAGATTTGATTTGCATAGTTCTTGGGATATAGTTCGGTATTGACAAATGAAAGCCATCGCAATTTCCTTTAATAGAAATCCTTATCGAGAATTAACGTTGACTCTGTTGAGAACCTTGGCCAGCTGTTCCAAAGTCATCCGTTGGATGGCGCCATGAAAGGCGGGAATGTAGACGCTAGCCAGGCTTAAGCGTTTAATGTGTTTTTGGGCGTTAGAGTGGGCATGGCAAACTTTTATTAGGCCAATCGATATTTATTGACGAAACAAATACATATCAATTTAAATTTTCACAATATCATCAAAACTGTGGCCACAGCATGTGGCTTGTGGGCGTCAGAGGGGGCGTGGCACCATTTTGAAACAAACTTGCGCTGCGTAGGAACTCCTTAAATCTACATGCAAAATGCCAATCTTCTAGCTTTTATAGTTTCCGAGATCTCAGCGTTCATACGGACAGACAGACGGACAGACGGACAGACGGACATGGCTAGATCGACTCGGCTAGTGATCCTGAACAAGAATATATATACTTATAGGGTCGGAAACGCTTCCTTCTACCTGTTACATACTTTCGCACGAATACAATATTCCCTTTTACTCTACGAGTAACAGGTATAATAAAATTAAAAAACTTTTGTTTTAAAATTTTTTCCAATTATTCATCTCGAGCCGGAAAAACTTCAAAATAAAATAATCATCAAACAAACAAAATTTAATAAAAAAAAATATATTTACTGCACAACCCATGTACATTTTTAAAGCAAAGTAGTCCAGGAGATATTTCTAGATCACGTCCGTCTGTCCGTCGGTCCATCCGTCGTCCGTCCATCTATTTGTTAACTAACTAGTCTCTGAGTTTAAAAGCGTATAGATGAAACGAATTGGAAAAATAAATCATACCAAATAACGTATATTCAAAGACCAATATAAACACCAAGATGCGTAACGCCATACGATTTTTTTGCACACGAATTTTATGTGCTGGCTTTTCAACTGGCTTTTCGCTCTCTGCCCAAAAGCCAGCGAGAGAGCGCTCAAAAGCCAGCCGCTCTTTGCACGCATACTGCGACAGTCGACGAATGTATGTGTGCACATGTATTCACAAGCGAAGAAATTCGCTGCAGCGCGCTGTCGAATTATACTCTTTATTTTAAAATTATAACATTATTAAAAATACTTATTTTGTATTGCCTTTATATTTACTTTATTTACTAATTATTCGAATGTATACTCTTTATTTTAAAATTATAACATTATTAAAAATACTTATTTTGTATTGCCTTTATATTTACTTTATTTACTAATTATTCGAATGTATACTATTTTTTAGTAATGACCAAATATATATAAGTATAAAAAAATAACATAATTTATTTCATACATGACTTCACATTGGAATAATTGTCATTAGGGTATTCAGCATACGACTTGTGAACGATTTTTAGGAGCCTCAGAAATTTTGCGATTGAACAGGATGAATATTTTTATATATATTGAATTTTAAATATATGGATTAAAAAATATGTGGTATTTTTATATTATACGTATTATATAATATTATATTATATAAATAGTTTAACTTTTTATAAAATAATAATATGAGCTTTAAATATTTATTAGGTATACAAAAAAAAAGATGGATAAATAAAAATGAATATCTGAATATTAAATTAAATTTTTCGTTTTATATATTTAAATTAATTATACCTTTTAACACAAAACATATAAAACTGGTTGAGTAAATAAGAATAGATTTAAGTGCAGGTTGATAATATTAGATATGATGTTATTCGTATTTACTTTAAATATTTTAAGTCATTAGATAAAAATTTAATATATTTGAATAAAAATTAAATTTAATATTTCCATTTTAAAGTTAATAAAAACAGCCATGGATAAAAAATAAAGCGACATATATTTAATTTAATATCCTTTAAATATATTACATTTAAATAAACTTCGCTTTGTTTTTGTTTAACAATCATAGTATATTCAAATATATTAAACTTTATTGAAATATTTTAAAATTTAATCAAGCAGTTTTATATGTTTTGTATTAAAAGTTATGTTTTAAGCTTTAATTTAAATATGTAAAACGAAACTATGAATTAAATATGCAGATATTAATATTTAAGGTATATAAAAAAGTTTTACATCAAGCTTCATTGCCATATATACATAAATGAAATTTAAATAATCATCCTGTTCAATCATAGAAGTTCTGTTGACACACAATTAGTTTCTTAGTCCAGAAATGATTTCTGGACGAAAATCGTCTTCTCGAACAAATACGCACACATACGCACTTTCTTATTTGTGCAATTCTATTTTTAGATTTTTACGCTCTCAACTTTGTGCGAGCGGAGAGGGCGGAATTTTCGTCGCCACCAAAAAACGAGCTGCATATTGCAAAACCAATGTATGGGCGTTACGCATCTTAGTGATTATATTGGTCTTTGGTATATTGATATACTTCAAGATATAGTCTTAAAACTTCTTTGTTTTTAGCGAATACATCAGAACTTAATCGTTTTTATACCCTCGCAGAGGGTATTATAATTTTGCTCAAACGTGTGCAACGCAGTGAAGGAGACATCTCCGACCCTATAAAGTATATATATTCTTGATCAGGATCGCCTCCTGAGTTGATATAAGCATGTCCACCTGTCCGTCCGTCCCTCCATCCGTCTGTCTGTTTCTACGCGAACTAGTCTCTCTCTTGAGATTTTCCAATCAATTTCATAAGATTCGGCCGACTATATCCTACAGCTGTCATATAATAGAACGATTGGAAATGCCAAAACTTTGGTGTTTTTAAAGATTTTTATGAGTATTAAGAATGCATCATATGAATAGTTTTGGAGAAAAGCTGCAGAAGTATATAAAGTTTTTTGATTATTTTCTAGTTTTTATTACATTGAAAAGGAATAAAATATTAATTCATTCTAATCTAAAATAAAGTTAATACAGTTTTAAATATGTCAGACTAAGAAGAATATGTATATGTTTATAAAAATAAATAATAAGTTTAATAAAAATTAATATTTGCATTACTTAAGG